AAGTTAATTTTTAAAAATCTTAACTATATCATCCTATATAGTATACCTATATTACAAGATCGTGATAAGTTGGATTAGAAGTTCCATGCCGATATGTTATTATAATGTACAGTTGAAATCAGTGCGCTCTATATAATTACTCGCTCTGTGATGTGCAGCACACCTGCAGGCGGCAGGCCTATATGCGGAATAAATAATATCCGTGTGCCATATATTACAATAACCAACGTTTCGATGGACCTAACTCTACCACCGCAAACGAAATATTATCGTCATCATTATTATTATTTATTATGCGTTTAACCGACCTTGACTCGCTCACTCGCACGTATCTTAGTATATTCGTATAACTATATATATATATATTTGGAAAAACATATCGGTTGTACGTATACATATTATATTATGTGTGTGTGGTGGTGGGGGGGGGGGGGTGGCAGTCGGCGCGTACAACGGCAGAACAATTATTTTAAATTTACCCGCTGGCGATGGCAGTGATTTGTCAACGTCACGAGGCCGCTAAGAAGTGTTTGGAAGAGAGGCGCGAATAGTGTTTGTGTGTAGTGTGTGTGAGAGAGAGAGAGGGAGCATAAAATAGTGTGACGACCATGGTGGTGGTTGGCGGCGCCCATGTGGATGAGCAACAATTTATATTAAAAAACTTTTTTTACTCCTCTAAAAAACCTATATTTATATACATAAATACATATCATATACGAGCGCTCGTGCTCAATGGAAAAGCGTCGTTTTTTATTTTTGTTTTAACGTCTCCCATCCTACTCTTTATACTTCATCCGGCTTAATGGCCGAACGAATAATCTTCCGTTTAAAATGGCTGCGGGCGCAATCGGCGTGAGTAATACCGATTCGCGAAACTATTACACTATATATACGCGCGTTACTCTAAAAAAGAGACATTTGTGCAATTATAAAACGTTTAAATCCCTATTGCGTGGCGTGTGAATTTTACAAACCAGAATATATATGTACAACCTCCTTCTCCTCTCCATAATCACGACTACTTTTAACACCGAGTCTAAAGCTACGCAAATATTTTTTCCAGCAAAAACGTAGTCACCGGACCTGGAAACAACGAAAAAATATTTTATAGATAACCTACCTATATTAAAAAATGAGAATGCCACTCGAGGTAGATTTGCATGTTTTATACACACATAGATTTTTCCCCTATATGTACTCCGTCGTATATATATACTGCAGAGTGGTACACCACCACGTTTTCCCACATAATATTATATTATATCTGATACAGGTGGCCCTATATAATATTATATAACTACTGCGTGACACGATAACGGATGAATGCGTGATATGTGAGTACGTCAACCTACCGTCGAAGTTTTCAAACGCCCTTCTGCCTCCTAAGCCGACCGCTCGAATCATTTATCCATCAGATTTTAATTAGGCTGTCGTTTTCATAAGCGCGCTTTACATCGCGACCGTCCCATACTTGATAATATACGGTTTGTTGTCATACATAATTTAATAATAATGATATTAATTACATCGAGCCGGAGCCTTTACAATTTATAGTAGATCACTCAACGACGGTTTTATTTCCGACTCATTTCAACGTAGATATAGGTTTATAATATCTAGTAGTAATCATAATAATATACCTATTAGGCTATACTGTAATATTATAGGTAAGTAATATAGTATATTATATATTATTATGCATCCGGTGATAATCCGGGAAAACATGTGATTGAATTTACATACTGGGTACATATTATTATTCCAATAGATTCGTGTTTAACGACTCAGAAGCATCTAATTTGTGCCCTTGTGTCTCACTCACGGTGGAGGTCGTGTCATCGGTTTATTATCCTGATTTCGAAATGAATGTGAATACTTAATTAAATTTTGTCCGCTCGTATATTTTATTAGTTTGTCGAACGTTCGTATATATTAGGTATATTGTTACACGGTTGTGTTTCAATTTTTCACTTCCCTCCCTGAGTTCGGCCAAAAGCACGCGTACTTATTTGCGTAATGTACAGTCGTTGGTTTTTGAAAGTTTATCGTGGCATTCTGAAAGTAATTTTCCATCGAAGTAATTACGAGTGCTGTTGTTCATGGCAATATTTCAAACAATTATTAATAAGTTTAATGGCGCTATTGAAAGACCGCAGACTTACCCGTATTCCGTTTGTAAAAAAGTAACAACACCCATTTGGTGTACCTCCCTATAATTAAATATACAATAGGTACATATTAACTATCGTGATTTAAATAATTATAATCGTAGATTAAAGGAGTCACGTGTCACATGTCGTGTATATCCGCAATAATGTTCAATATAATATAATAATATGAAATACTGCAGAGATGACAAAATAATATACTAATACTAGCAGTATCTTGACGTGTTTTATATTAGGACATGGGTGGCTTATAGATGATTGTGGTGGGGTGGGATTGTATAATTACGTTTACACATAGTAATGTATATATAGTTTTTAATCAGACTTGTGTAATTTTATCGCGCATATCATGTATATACTTAAACACTTGGAATCGTATAACGGTGCGCTTTGGGATGGAACAAATGCCATTCAACCCATTAGAAAGTACAATGAACTTGGAGAACAAAGTATTCCAATTGTTGATTTCGTTAAGGAAAAAAAACATAGTCAACGATGAGACACATAATGCTTAGAATTTTATTTTTTGTCATCCGACACGATAATTACATATTAATTACACTTTTTACATATTATATAGTTGAAGATTATCATAACAATGCGTTCGTATTTTAATGTTATATATACATTATACATAGTATAATACTCGTTTTATTGTACATTTTTTTTAATTTTCTTACACCCTAACCATGTACATGTAATGTACGATGTTGTGTGTACATAAATTATATACCTACTCTTTATTTTGTGTACACAACATGCACCGACTGTACCTATCGTTTTCATCATGTGATTATTATTTTTGAAAGGATTTCATATAATTTGGAATTCAACGAGTTATAAAATACTAATTTGTTGAAAACCGTTTTTAATTTTTATAAATTTAGTAGCTGAATACCCGTCGTTGCCAGGAAAAAATTCTGATTGTTCAACTCTTATTGGGTGCAACACGCTGTGGAAGCAATGTCATTTTAAGTGTAACTGATATTATATTTTAATGTATAGCCATCTCGAACGGCGTTGTCCGTGATATTCGCAGCAGTATATTATCAGGTAGGCAATCTACTTGCGGTAGATCTCTGACCCCGTGTGGTTTGTACGTAAGTGTATAATCGAACTGTTATAAGTATCTAAGTTATACCAAGTTTGTCGTTTTTTACTTAATTCAACCTATGGTGGATTAATACAATCAATTAATACAAAATCTTAACCTAACCGTACTGAAATCATCACCGTAATAAAAAAATGCTGAAAAAATTAGTTCACCGAAACCTTGGTTCGAAAATCAGACATTCTGTAATAATTATTGTTATTAAAACCAATATCAACCATTTACAAACAAACATTTTCATCATAAATCTCAAAAACTATGTTTGAGCACTTCCCAGGGTCAGACCTCTAAATTACCCTTTTTAAATTAGCCTATCTTCTTCCAAGAGGTCTAATCTATATCTGTACCAAATTTCATCGCAATTGGATACACAGTTTAGGAATACATAGAGGACACACACACACACACACACACACACACACACACACAAAACAAACATTCATTTTTATATACCTATATACATTTATATCATAAATACGATTGTTGTCATGACTATACATTTGCTTCAAATATTCTGTAAACATTATATTTTAATGTAGTATACAATAGGTACAATAGGCGTATTATAGTGATATAGATGTCAACATTGTGATTATCTATTTCAACGTTTTGTAACGAATTCTAATATATTGTAAAAATTACATAACTCAGAAAGATTGTTAAACTATTTTTTTTTTATAATTGTAATTTATTAAAACATAAACTAGTGTATCAGTATTTGAATACAAATTATTAATATTCAAGTATATTTTCATAAAATAATTTTATTCATATAGGCAACTGTGATTTATATAGTTATTAAAAAAATGTTTTATTTAAGAATTTTAGTGAAGTGAGAAACACTGGCTTTCATGTCTTGTTTTTAACAATTTTTGTGACAATCAAAAACATATTAACTTTATATTAATAATTTTGGAATATGGAAAAAAAAAATCATTATTTTGTTTTTAGTATAAATTATGAAATGAATGTCAGATATTAATAACTAACGTTTAATTTGCACTCAAATACGTCTTCTGCACCTATTCACTGTTACACAGGTCATACGATAATACCTTGACCGCCAGCAATATTGTCTATTTAGTTCATTATTCTTTATTTAGTAGTAGAAAAAAATGGCATATGTTATTCTAAAGTATTAACGGTGGATTATATTTTTGGAAGGAATTCATACAAGTGGCTTTGAATTATGATGCAGTTTGTAAGCACAAGTTAAATTACATTTATTTACTCACGATGGATGTGGTGAAGCTGTTTTATCGGCAACTGAAGGGAAAATCGAATTAATTGCAGTGTTAATTTGGAAATCGATGGATTTCTAGTACCCTAACAAATAACTACAATCTATTTTCTACTAGGCTACAACTTACCGTGAATGCCCGACAGTAAAAATATGTTACGCTTTGTCAAACGTAAAATATATGACCATTTTTTGACAAGTCACAAAGGGATTTGAAAATGTTTTTTTATCGTAGAATTTGGCGCCCAAAAAAACCATTAGAGGTTAGAAGAAAGTTATTTTGTTTTTGTGCTGGATAGCAGTTTTGAAAAATTGTGACAGTTTGAGATTAGCCCAAAGGTAGATTTCCCGGTTGAAATCTACCACGTGACTATTTCCTTTTTTACACCGGGGCTCAAACGTAATTGAGTTTCATATTATTTAATACTACAAATACAACAACACATTTATCACATTTAGACATTTCACTTTGTTGTTTCAGCTTCTGACCTGGAATCGATCCGTGCCTTATTTAATGAAAAAGAAAAAGAGCTAACAATGGCTGTGGCTAAAGTGGATGAACTAACTAGACAACTAGAAGACGTCCATAAAGGACGTGGTCATGCACAGCCCACATCTCCGGCCTCCATAGAACTCGACAAACTACGAGCCGAGTTATTAGTGAGTGTTATTGTTCATACATTTTTATTATGATCTTATAAAGTTAATTTCTGATATTTCCAAATGGGAACTATTTTTATTTATATTTTAATTAAATAGGTTATATAACCCTAATATAATATATAATTTTTTTTTTTTTTTAATTTTGAAGTACCGGAATAAATTGGGTGAACAGCAAACTGCCAGGCTGGTACAACAACGTGAGGTTCTGTCCAAAAGACAAGAGGAAATGGCATCCATTGACCGGCGAATATCGGAACTACAAGCTAGGTTACACAGGAAGAGACTGCTCAACCAACAGTTGGCCAATCAAATCCAGGCTAACAAACCAGGCCAAAATAACAGGTTAGGTTATCCAGTAATCATTTTGAGCATAATAATTCTAAAAAAGAGATTTCCACAAGATCTCGTGAGATGGGTCATCTAATTACATTTTAGTTTCTTGTAATCTATTAATGTAACTATGTAAGTTTATAAAAGAATATTCATTTTGTTTGCGGTGAAGTCACTATGCTGTAAGATAGATTGTGTTTTTTACAATAGGCCAGGGGTCACCAACATTTTCCAACAAGTGAGCCACATTAATCATTTTAAGTATCTGGTGATCCACCACTATTTATTTTGGTATACTATTACAATTTGATATTATTGCATGCAGCCTAATAATAGATTGTATAATAATATTCTTATTTCAAATATATAGGAAAATGTTATGTTTTTCTTCTCTAATAAATATGTTACTTCAAATATAAAGCGTAAAGGTGTGTTTAAGTCTTAAGACTAAGCTTTAAGAATACGCACGTGATCATCGGATTTAAGGAAAATGAATTTTTAATAAGATCTTCAAATATTATTCTTCTAAATATCCACCAGCCAAACATCTCCTTAAATAAAGTGATTGTAATATAATTTACAACCTTATTAACCCTGTCAACCATGAGGATTAATTTTCGATTTTAAAACATTTATCATATGCATAAAAACTGCCAAACAATTATAATTATACTAACCTGTACATTTTCTTTTGATTTAAGATCTCTGGGCGGCCCGGGTAAACAAATGATGCCGTTGTGCGATGGGAAAATGAACGGTGGAGGTGGAAATGTTGCAGCCATCGAGCCGTTTAACCACATACCAGACGCAATGAGCAAGAATTCAATGTTACGCAAGTCCGAAGATAACATCCTTAGCCACGCGACGGTCGACGGTGACCCACAGTCGTATGGTGGACGGTCCGCCAGGCCTGAGCTAAAGTCTCTGTCTCAGCAGCCTTTGGTCCAGAAACCTATGGTGGACCCATACCAACAACATTACCAGTCATCAAATAACAACTACAAAATTGAACAACAGAGTAACGGTAACCCAGGTGACCTCGCGTATTTCGGTGGTAGCAAGTTTGACCCTAAATACCAGACACTACCCTACAATACCAAATTTTCACCATTGGCAAACTACAGTGGAAACCAACCGGCGCTCCAGCACCATCAACATCAGCAGCAACAACAACTACAACATCATCATCATCAGCAGCAGCAGCAGCAACAACAACAGAACCAGCATCAACAGTGGTTCGGTCAGCATGACGACATGTCCGAGGACATTAATAGAGACCTAGTCAATAACAATTACGGAGCCGATCAAAAACTTAACGGAACGGCCCAAAGTAAAAAGTCAGTTTTGGCTGGCCAAGTTCTGACAAACCTGGGACAAAATTTACAAATGCAGAGTTCCAGTAGACCTATCAACGCTCAAGTGTATCACACGAAACCACTTTCATCGTCTAATCATGCTTCCCAAAGGTACAGTGGTATTTATATTTAACATTTATTTCTATATTTCACGTTATCATATTATTATGATATTAACATACTCATTCAATATTATGTTTTAGGCCTTTAAACTATTCGGTACACCACCCTCCGGTTCTAGTGACTAGAAGCCAACCAGTCGGTGGAACTGGGATAATAAATCATCAGGTAATTGAATCTTATACGATATTATTTAGAATATTACTTTTTATTCTCCAAAATAATACGCATAGTACAGTATGTTCGTATTTATTTCGAAATTATTTATGCTAATGATTCGATTTAACTTAAAACCGTATTTTAACGTCGATTTAATAGTACCTATTTTATTTCGCCCGGATTTTGGTGCGAATGAAAGACGGAGTATCAGAATGAATCATTTAGAGTATTAATCAAGACTATTGTGTTATACGCGTTTAACGTCAGAATAATCGTTATATAGAGGGATTAGGGCGTTCTACAACGATTAATAATATCGTCCTTATCGCAGTGGTTGTAATAGTCCGTCAATTCGAGTCGAGTCTTACGAGAGCCTACAGGTCTTTTTCTTTCGTATTATTTAGTACTAGAGTTTACTATATACGCTCACGAAAATCGAGACAAACTTAATTTAATATATCCTAACTCAATTTAGGGGAATAATTTGTAATAACTTTGGGGCATGGAGCGCCACTGGCGTAATGTAATTTTCCATCAGACGCTTTATTATATTATTGTGTTTATTAACATAATAACATAAAAACCAATTTTCCACAGAAACCCACGAGCAGCGTGTCGCCCATTTATCAGACGTCTTCGACCAAAGTACAGCCGGTTCAGCCTCAAGTGTTAAATTCCGTTGCGGCGAACCAAGTAGTACCTAAAGAATCAATACAACCAATTAGGTTAGGGACGGTGGTTGCTGCGGAGTCTGAACAACCGGTCGGCGTGGAGCGGGCCGGCAGTCCTCCGACCGTTGGAAAACCGGCGTTACCCCCCAAACCTCCTCCGCCACTGGTCAAGACTTGTACGCCACCACCGCCGCCAAGGCAAAACGCTTACCACCACCACATACCTCAGTATAACCAGCCGGATCCATCTTTGGAAGACGGGGGCCTAGGAGGAGCTGGTAGTGGTCGTGCGTACTACACCGACTGCAGACCAGCCCCACTTCAAAAAGACTTGACGCCTCCCCCGCCGCGGATACCCAACGGTGGAATTACTGGAGCCCCGGTCAAGTCTGGCTTTGGTAACTTGGTGGATTCGTCCGAGTCCGACAACTCATCGAGTTCGGCGTCCATGCGATGTACGATCGGTAGTAACGCCAAGTGAGTGCTATAATGTGTACATAATAAGATATATTATATGTGGGGAAAAAACGTTAAGCTTGATAAGAATATAAGATGTAATACTAATATAATTATTAATTAATATATTATATTGTATTAATTGGACCGTCTTTACGTCTGTTCACTGTTAGTGAAGATTTTCAATAAGACTGCCCATAACATTTCTAGTCGATTAAGACTCGTATTATCTAGATTGTATTTTGATCTATAACTGTTCATCACATTAAGCTCAGGTTATCTAGCACTTATAGTACAATGATACTAAGTATGATATGCGTGTGTATTCTTCTTTTTCTTTTTCGATTTTATGGCCCAATCGGGACCAGAATATTCCCCACGAGCTATCCATGTAGAAGATATAATATAACAATTAGTTCTAAACCATAATCATTACTAAATTTCTGTTAATTAACACTAAGTCATAGAGTTCAGTTAATCGTTTCCATAAGTGAATGATCAACTGGATCTAATTGTGTAGTCAAAACAAATGGCAAGAAATATTAATACTGTAGTTTTCGTACGTTTTCATTACGTCGCACAACAATAGAACAATCCAGTACGATAAAGTTGAGCGTTTTTAGATATATCTATGATAGGTTATAGATTTATAATTGGATTTTTTTTTAATGTTTTATTTTCACTTTTTTAGAAGTGGCGAACATTTGTTGGACAGTGTGAGATCTGTGAACATATCAACGACCAAAGGGACGCCTCCCCCTCCACCACCCCCACCTCAACCCCAGCCACAGGAGTCGTCTGCTACCACAGCCACATCTCCAACTGAACCCGTGGGAGTCAAAGATCAGCAACAGCTGCAGCCACCACCCCAAGAAGCAAAACTCCCCTCTAGACTGCCATCACTTTTGCTCAGCCGAACCACTTCTTATCCGGTGACGGATATCGTCGGAAGCGAGAGTAAAGTCAACAACAACAACAACAACAATAACAACCTCCATCACCATCTCCTTCACCATAATCATAATAACATCAACAATAACCACCAGCAATTGCAACACCGGATATCCGTCGCACCACCTCAACAGCAGCAGCAACCGGCACAGGCTCCATCTGCCATCGCCACTTCCACTATTTCCACCACATCGACCGTCAGACAACTAGATCCTCAAGCTGCGGCGGTTGATGAAACAGACAGAGCGCGGGCAGTTAGTGTGGCCCAGCGCATTGACGAACTGGAGACACGTTTTGGTGGTGGAGGCAGTAGTATAGGGGTCGTCGGATGTGGTGGGTCTTCGTCCACTGACGATAACAGCACCAGCAACCACAGCTCTTCATCGCCGGACTCTGGCCAAGACTCAGGCAGAGACGACATATCCGGTAAGAGTTCACTACATAAGTAAAAAAATGACGATATTTTGTTTTACACGAATATCATTTAAGTTTATCAATATTTACTTACTTTAAAAAATTCAAATTAAAACAGAGCCTTGCACCCAAATTAACAGGAATCTATTTACGTTTTGTTGAGATATGGGGCTTCAGAGTTAATCTTTTAATTTATGTTACGCCTCAATAAGTATTACTTAGTTATTAAATATTTTCCAATTTCAACACATTTTAATATCTATGCTTTGTTTTTATCATTCTTTTACAAGTATAATTTAGCATTATATCGTATTATTAAGAAATATCGTATAAAATAAAAGATTTTGTACCAATATCGTATTCAAATTAAGTTTCTTCTGAACTACTTAACATCCATATAAATCAATTTGAACCCGAATAATCATAGTTATGCACCCAAACGTTTTTTTATTCCTGTGTTTAAAACCCAAATATATTTGATTCTAGTGTAACGCTCTGGACTTCAATTGATCAGCATATTCGTATATATTAATATGCTTGGAAACTTTAGTTATGGTATCGAAATAATTGCTAAAAAATCGTAAACGAGACTTTCACATTCTTGAATTAATATTTTTTGTTAGTGCCGATGACCTGTTAATGCGTTGAAACTTATTCTCCTAAAATTAATTATTCTTAATTTACTTTTAGTCTCTCGAGGAATTGTGCGTCTTACGTTATCTAAAAGAATAAATTCTTTAAAATTGCATTTTTTTCTTGATATTTTAATGTAATAATAAAAATAATCATATGAGAAATACTGCTTTTGAAATGTTATCTTCTATGAAACAACATAATTTTAACAATTAACAAGTATAAAAATAGTATGGAAATTGAACACAACTCATGGTTTTTGATAAGACACGTAATAATATATAATATACACACGGCGATTGTCTCGAAATAATAATAATAATAAAATAATTCAATCTGTGAACAACAAATGCGAAATTATTAAGTATTGCTCTATATTATAATAATAATATTATTATCTCCGATGAAATTTGCTTTTGATCTGTCTATTTATGGAGAACTGAACTATCCGAAGAAAATAATATGCAAATCCGTGGCTCGATAATCCGTGCATGGTGTATATATTATATATTATATTGTGCATTATATAGATGTATAGGACAGTAAGTATTATGATGCTCGCGGGAGGTATACTATGGATCGTTTAAGCTAATGGGTTTCCATGTCGAACTTACTCCTGTGTGCCACAACACCGGTACATAATATAACATTGCGCGTAAATTTGAATTTGATTTAAGTGTGTTTTATCTGCAACCCCTACTCTATACCAATTACACTTAACATACAACAATTTCAGAGGTTATATTATATACTAACTAAATGCTTCAACTAAATGAGTTAGACAAAGTTTATCATTTTATACTATTTTATGGCATACTATTTAGATAGAATACGATTATAATTATTTAATATTTGCACTAAGTTGGAATTCCAACTTTTAGCTATTTATACCACGACCCTATTCCATTCTAAGGTACGTTGCCACGTTGGTATTGACTTATAAGTACGAAAATAATAATATATGATACTATACCATAATAATTGTTATTTAAGATAATATAATATAATATATGTTGATATAATATGATTTATGTAAAAACGAGTTCAACATACAGTATTACTTATGGAAAAATGTAAAACTTTTAGTTATTTAAATTAATACAAATAAAATATAAAAGAGCCTTAGAAATAAACAATACAACACCGTTTTTGTTCAGAATCATTTGTTGTTTTATTAAATAATATTCATTGAATTCAAATTTAACATATCCGTATTTGTCACTGTAATAGTGTTCTACTTAATGACGAGGTACACCCAACACCTACAATGCAGCATAGTGAATTCCGTGGTTTTATTTATTATTTTATGGCTTATTTTATGTGATTTCAAATAACTATGTATAATGGCAGTCTATTAGTAATTTTTTTCTTTTTTTTTTGGTCGGGGGCCTAACCAATCGAGCTGGGTACCTTAGTTCCGCTCATCAAATGGACTATAGTTGCTTACATATTATATCTGGTGAAGTACATCTCCAGTGATGACAATCACCCCTACCATTCATCTATACAAAAGCCAACGAGTTGGTAAAATATATCATAATAATGATATCCCAATTCCCAACACCTCTTTTTATTTCCACTAGTTTTTAGGTACCTACATATGATTCTACTACGATATTTATTATGATGCAAATATAAATAATTAGTGTCTAACCTATGCGTGTAAATCGGAGAGCTTTGTTTGTTTGGATTTATCAAGTTATGTGTGATATAATAGTATATACCAACCTATTAAACTATCTCTAAACTACATTGACATAGTATACGGTTTAACACAGATTTATATATAAACATAAACGAAAGTATAACGACAATAACAACGAACATTACTCGCGTTTAGGTGTGACATTTCTCATTTTCGCTTGTTGCTGACGGTTGCGCACATAATATATCAATATAATATTATAGTTTTCCAATTCACCGAAGTTCGTCGTTAGTTTAGACATTGATCTTGTAACGTACCTATCCCGTGACCCGTTGTTGATACTGTATATTTAATGCACTCTATGACAAGAGATGAAGATATGAAGGTTTCTATGCATTTACGTATTTGTTTGGTTGATTTTATGTGATGATATGGTAGGTAAGAGATAAATACGTCTTTCAACTATATTTGATACAAATTATATCGTTCTATTCAGTATTTCAGTGCGAATTTATACGATTTTAGCTCATATTATATCTATACATTTGATAGACAAAACAAGTGTGTGTTCGTTATTAATATTTTATCACCCATAACAATTCATACCTATAGTCAATACATTGTGTTGCATATATTGTCGAATGTCCTCCGATCACAGTATTTTTATGGCATTTCGATTTATGATATTATATTGAATATCATTGTGCATAATTACACTTCCAGTAATAAAATTGTGTGTATTTTCAGTGGAATGCAGAAACAGGTTGGTGGTGCGGAAAAAAGGCAACCTCAAGGAGTCGGGCGGTAGCATCGGTCACAAGCGACGTGTATCGTTCGATCCGCTCGCATTGCTGTTGGATGCCTCGTTGGAGGGCGAACTCGAGCTGGTTATGCGAACCGCTGAACAAGTGAGTGTGCTAGCAAATTATTATTATTATTATTAATATATTATATATATGAAAGACTCGACAGCAAAGGTTTCATATGCGTTTTTTTATTTCCGAGATATTCATATATTATAATAATTTTGGAGACCGATCGTTAGGCGAGTGTAGTTAGGGAGTAGCTTATACCAGGTATTTGTTTATATAATATATATAATATAGTAATAAATAATGATGTACTATGAATTACTCTAACTTCAAAGACGTTTTATTATGTAAATTGTTTATTAACGTCGTCGTATGTCATGTTTTTAGGTGGGAGATCCGAGCGCGGCTAATGATGAAGGAATAACTGCGCTACACAATGCCATATGCGCCGGCCATATAGACATTGTTAAGTTCTTAGTTAAGTTTGGCTGTGATGTAAATGCTCAAGACTCCGATGGATGGTAAGTACAAAGTTAATATTATCATAGTGTAAACATCGTCTGTTATGCTTAGAAGTACGAATTTGAATTATTGCGGCCTTAAAATTAATATGATACATATTATTAGAATAACTTATTTAAAAAAATAATAATATATATAAGTTTATGTAATATATCAGTATCAGTGGATGAATGTGTAACATGAGTAGTATTTATAAGTTATACGTTAAGCTACATTGTGTTATATACTGTTATATTATATAACATAACAATTAATAACGGAGAAATTTAAATATCATTAAACATAGTAGAAAATATAACGATGAATAACGATGAATAAGCGTAGGTACATGTAAGATAAAAAAATGATTACAAACTACAATGTTGTTAAACATATGTTTGACGTTTTTGAATACTGAAAATCGGAAAAAATCATTCAACGTCTGAAAGTACAGTGGTCGTAAAACGCTCTCCCTATAGTTTCAGTATGGTGTTGTACAGTCATCAGAGGTCGTAGAATGGTGGCGATTGTGTCTGATTATGTGGGTGGAGGTTAAAAGGACAGGTGAAGGTTCATGTTACGACAGTTTTTATACTCGTAAACATGTTGTAGCTAAACCAGCAACACGCTTTTGCCGTGGAAGCCAATTTTCTTCAAAACGTGTCTGCATACCCACCGCCCTACGTACATTCCGTAGGTTTCATGAATTTTTTCCAGTAGGGTTATTAAAAATCTGGGATTTATGATCATCGTCTAAGGAACCTGAAAGCTCTAAAGAAAGCAATTTATACGGAAATTACAAGAAATACTCAAAAGAGTTAAAATATATAAAAAAATAAAATGTTTGTAGCTAAAATTGTTTTTTTCTTAACGAAATATATATTTTAATTTAAAAGGTTTGTACGCCTAGCGAAAATATCAATATTATATTGTTTACTTATTGGAAGTTCTAATGACGGCTTGTCGTTCATATTGGCATTGTTCGAAACAATTTATTTTTCATTTACATATTTATGCGTTTTCTCTATTATAATAATTGACTTAGATAGAAAATTGAGTTTAAAAAAATTGAAATGTTCCCATCCACAAATATTATTTTTTAATTAATAAATCTAAAGTAATATTTTACAACCTGCGTAATAATCTTTCTACTTAATCATTTTTAATTAGTCGGTGTCCATTAAGCACGATGAAATGATTAGCACGATGAAAAAATAATTCTTCTTCTAGCTGCTTCGCAAATACAAATTGATATTTCCGCAGCAATTCATATTATAGAATAGTATTGTATATTACGTATTAACAGTAATTAAATGATTATATTACTTGCTAAACCTGTGTATTATTGGATTATTATTATATTATTGTACCGAGCGCGCATTTGTTGGATTAAAGTTACATAACACGCGTATATAGGTATAAGGACTTATATTAAACCTATTAACGAGTACAATAAGCTGTAAATATATATATATAATATATTTTATAATTAAGTTATTAAAACTCGTCGTGCAGTTCTTTTCATCGAACCGTTAGAAATCGATAAGTCTCGCAAGTTTTTGTAGTATAGCCACTATACGACGTACGTATATTATACAAAACTCCATCATCGTATACTAGTGTATATGCAAGTGTTCCCAACAAGAATTTTATTACAGAATTGAATTTCTCATTTATAACGTAAAAAATAATTCGAACTTCATACAAAACACTATTTCATAAACTTGAAAGTTGTATGCATTCGTGCGACAAATCATATTTATATACTTTATTTTATGATGTCTGTTTTCACGCTCTCTGGTTGCTACAATATAATACTTTACATACTGCACTTGCAATACTGCAGTGTACAATTATGATATAATTACTTAACGAGTGGTTGGTGTTGGTTGCAAGTTAAGGTACGCGTCGTCGTAGGTTTAGTGACCGTCTTTGACCTTTGTATACATGTAGCTATTATACAGCGGGTGTGATATATTTTAAACGTGAATATACTGACATATAAAGGAGATCATATTATTTACTAACGAATACTTAATTCTTTTGATGCCCACAGGACGCCATTACACTGTGCCGCCAGCTGTAACAACCTCGCCATGGTCCGATTTCTGGTGGAGCACGGGGCGTGCATATTCGCCACCACGTTGTCAGACCAGGAGACGGCCGCCGAAAAGTGCGAGGAGGACGAAGAGGGTTTTGACGGATGTTCAGAGTTTCTTTACAGTGAGTTGAAATGTTGAATAATGTCTTTGTTTTAATTTTTAATTACTTGGCTTTATTTTAACACCCCCCCTCCCCCTAAAAAAAACCATCATTAAGTTCATGGTGCAATTCTGCGAGTACGCCTCTAATCCTATAGAATAACTAAAATATTTTATCCGGATACAAAATTATGTGTATCTAATAAACTTATTATTTTAGACATAGGTATATACACACATAAGGATCATACTAATTATATAAATACTTAAAAAATTATATGATTTACCATTTATAATTTGTATTAATATCGTTTATTAAAAACAAAATTATGTTTATTGTATTTTATTAATTTTAATACATAGTATTATTTTAATTGAAAACCTCCAGTACCTTAATAAATACTATACATAGCTGTATACATATTTATAAAACATTTACAAAAATGTATATTGTACTAAATTGTGAAACGATGTCTGCAGGCGTTCAAGAGAAGTTAGGTATAATGAACAATGGTGCGGTGTACTCAGTTTTCGGTTACGAGGCGCACAACCAGGACGAGTTGACTTTCGACGACGGCGACAGGATCGTCGTTCTACGGAAGGGTGACGACACCGAACGAGAATGGTGGTGGTCGAGGATTGACGACCGCGAAGGATACGTGCCACGGAATTTGCTTGGGGTGAGTTTTTCTTCTTCTTCACACACTCGCTAAAATATATATGTCTGAAATATACGGGCTAACAGAAAAATGATTTATTGTAGTTAATTTATATTTATATATATTTTAATTCTGTAGATATATTATAGTATACAGTTATGTACGATAAGTGATATAATGTGGCTTTAAGAGAAATAACTAGTTTTGCTCTAACACTTTTATATAGGTACTAACCTTTGGAATTTTATTTTTGTTTATGTGCGTATTTATTGTCCGTTCAGTTATACATCGTCACTGTACTAACATCTAGTCAGAACTCAAAAGCATCATGTCACTATATGTCATGGTTCTAATACCGAGAAAATAATATAGTACGCTATCTACATAAAGTATTTTGCACGTAGAATTTTGTGCACAAATAAAATATATCCATTGATCTCTATTTTGAAGTAAAAAAAAACTATTTAATTCATATTAATTTTATGAAAGCAGAAATTAATTATGCTTGACTGCTTGACATATTGTTAACTGTTATCGTCGACATTTGAATACCAAAACGATATCTGCACTATGCAGATTAATGTTATTTGAATGAAAAAAACAACAACAATTATACGAAACACATCATAAAAAATGCTGTGTCAATTCGGGTCTCAATCAAAGCTTCATTACTGTGGTCTGTGGGCTGTGGGGAGGGTGTATGGAAACACGCGTTGTAATCTCACAGCCTCGGCGCAATCGTCGCGTCGATATTATAATTGGTACCTATATATAGATTTTAATTAAAATGTTTTAGTGATTACTGTTGCACGCAACATTTTCACCGTGCGACACTATTATAGTATAAAAATTAACATATATACATAATGCATTTTAAAGTTTCCCTCAAAAACAATCCATGCGAATACAGATTATTCGATCGTCCGCTTGCTATATTGCCTGTATTTTATATAAACTAGGTTGATTTAAAAAAACTCCGGTTGTGATTAGTGAATAGAATGGAAGTAAATTAAAAATCAATTTGTTTCAACCAAATTAATTCATAAAATACAATTTGAGTCTTACTAGGTAGGTACCTATTGTATGTGTACAAAGATAGCGCGTTGTTCATTTTAATATATTATATTAAAATACAAGCTGAGTGCTCCAATAATAAATTTTCGTTAAAATTAGTTTTTTTTTAAACTAAGTGTAATGTAATAAGCGAATACAGAATGGAAATAAATTTACCACTAGAGAGCCTTATATAATGCGGACCCAGTCCAATGATTTTTAGTCTTAAACGTTGAGTTTAATAATTTCGCAATTATTTTTCCGGCTATATCTATAATAAACGTGCATGTGTACAGTGCCGTGCTAACTTTCATTTGCGCCCCAGGGCAATAATATTTGGCACCTAATCCCTATAAACATACATATTTAAATATTTTCCCTTCTTTAAAATGTTACAACCTTTTCCACCCTAGGGCACTTTCCCCATTTGCCACCCCCTTGGCCCGGGTCTGAAGTTGTTTGTTACATACGTAAATAATACTACATATATACTAGGGCTAGGGGTTGCATTTGCAACCATTGCATCTTTACTGATAAAAGATAAATTCATTTCCAATAATTTTAAATAAAAAAAAAAATAAATACCTATATTATTTATACATATTTTCCATAAATACATGATTTTATAAAATTGTTTATAATATTTCCGTTATTTATTTATTTATTTTTGAAAATGTTTATAATTCTCAAAACTAAGATAATTTGTCAATTTTTATCATAAAAAATTGAAACAAACGTGATTCATGGTCGGTGGTTTATAGTAGGTGACTTTGATTGGTCGTAAAAATGTTGTAAGTGTGTACTGTGTTTATTTTTGCGATATTTTAAACCATATCAGTATGTCATTGTTTTACTTTGGAATGATATGAATATAAACACAATTGTATTTCGTTACAATGTCTTAACAAATTAATATTTTTTTTTCAATATTGAGTATTGCACTGTTTAAAAAATGTTTATTAGCTCATTATTTTTATATTTTGAATTTTCTGCTACGTATAAATGTAGATGAAACTTGGAGTCAGTGGCTGATCCAGGGCTTAATTTGGAAGGGGGGAGAATGCCCCTTAGCCATCCTCCTGGATCCGCCACTACTTGGAGTAGATTAAGATGTGGGCGTCAGATAGTTTTCGTTTCCTTAATCACTCGTTGATATATAATACAACAAGTATAACATTATACATAATTTTACCTGTCAAATATGATGGCAGTATACACTGTACCTACACAAACACGTTTTACTTAAAATGTATAATCAATTATATTATATTAATACACACATGATACCTATTATGTTGCCACTTGCCAGTAAAGTTCGGACTTCGGTTGATTCAAGAAATTGGCATGATTTTTTTAAGAACACGTGTTTTTTTTCAATTTATTTTTAAATTTTTCTTTTAACAACACATGAATTATGCTTGGCTTAGAACTTGTTAATTTTTTTATTATTTTTGCAGTTTCAAAAATGTTTATTAAAAAAAAATGTCTCTCATTGTTTTAAATCTCTGCAATTAGGTACTACCGATGATGCAATTTACTTAGGATTTAAACAGTTTATGCTAAACGAATGGATTTATAATTTTTAGATAATATCTAATTCATTGAGTTGCTACTGATTTTGGCTGATTTTTCTTAATAATTGTATAATCAAATTAAGTCCTTGGTAACAAAACAAGTTTGTATGTATCACCATCGTTATAAATTGTCAATTAAATATTTAATGAAAGCATAAAATATAGATTACCGTAATTTTCTTAACTCCTCGATAAATTGTTAAGAAAAATAATTAAAAAATGTTATACGTTCTCAAAGTCGTATCATTAACTCACATATCAATTAGTACCTAGGTATATATTATTATGTATTTTAAATAATATTATTATAGGATCTGAAATAAGTTTGTGGTTACTAACGTATTACGAAACGGACTCCCTTAATATAGTCTGCAACGAACATTTCTTTCGCACCGCCGAATCCACCCACGTCCCACACGTATACATAATAATAATCGTGGTATGCAACTGAGTATAGTAGGTTAAACCGTGCGTGCACGTATTAGTGTGTGTATGTATGTGTGTGTGTGTGTGTGTGTGTGTGTGTGTGTGTGTGTGTGTGTGTGTGTCAGTGGTAGCCCTGGAGCTAGATCTTATGGTTGGTGGAGGACAAAGGTCTGCACTCCATTTTATTGCAGTTTATGTTATGTTCCTAGGATTTATCACTAGCAGGTGAATAGTGAAGAAGTTCGCTCCCCTTATCCAATTTTATGATAAACTCAACCGCTTACATAATATTATATACGTAGTTCTTCACGAACCCTTAAACCGCTCTTCACTCTGAACTCACTAATATTTCCAAATCAGTAGAATAAAGTTATATTAAGTAATAAGAAACAATGATATGATCGGGTGTTTAGTAGGAGGAGGGGATGCCCCATTTGCACTCCCCCCTTTAATCTGACAGTGACGTGTGCGTATGCATTATGTATGTAGGTACGGAATTGAATTTAAAGCATTTCTTGTGTACGTGGTAACTGACGGGACTGCTATTATACGCACCGAAACTGTATATTATACGGTGTAATGGACGGGCGTTTGTTGTTTTTTCGTTTTTCAGCTTTACCCGAGAGTGATCGGTGGCAAAAAATCGGTGACCGAATGACAATCCGCTTCGATGGCAACCGCGATATCACCGGGGCCCGTCAAGAAGCTGATCGATTCTTGGGTCCCACCAACATCATATCATACAACGATATCATTCTTATTATGTTAGACTTTCTCATATCTATAACGTTATTATATATATTATTATTATTATTATTATTATAATTATTTTATACGATTTCTTTTTGACTTATTGTTTTTTTTTTCACATAGAAAACACACTTCATTTATTTATTTATTATTTCTATAATTATCATTATTATTATTATTTTGTTGTAATTTAAGACCAAAGTTTATTTATGCGTTTTGACCATGACAAATTTTATGAAAGCATTATCGTGGTGTATATATCGTATAGTAATTTTATAATAATTTAGTTGACAAAAAAAACTTTACATTTAAAATGCATGTATATTCTTATTCAAACACTGAAAAGTTCACGCGGTCGAGTACGTGACATATATATCATATAATATTGTATTCACGGTGAACGTGCATAAATTGTTTTTGGATGTTTTTTTTATTTATTTATTTTTTGTTTTCCTAAGTGTTTTCACGTTTATACGAGTACATTAAACTAAACATCATCATATTTGTAACATATAGTATTTTGACTAAGGAATTTTTTTTCTAAAAATTGTGATGTATAAAAATAGTATAAAACGTATTTCTTTTCTTTGTTGTTTATCCAATATTATTGTTATTGAAATAAATTTTTATTATTATACGATCGAGTTACAATATACGAGTATCAAAATGAGTACCAAGTGGCCGCGTATCAATAATAACAATATACAATTATTATTTTTATTATTATTATTATTATGATTATTATTATTATTATTATGTGCACCATGGCCACTATAGATATAATATAACTGACTAGTCGGGAAACAATACGTATTTATGACAAATACGACTAAATAATTTATTTCATCAAGGTTCTTGTGCATATTTCTTTAAATATTTTTTGTTTGCTGAAGAAAAGTATAATATGATATTTATATAAATATATTCGTGTTTTGACGTCGATAGCGGAGAGCTCATCGATTGTGTTTGGAACCACCCAGGCGCAACGTACTCGAAAATTGACGGAGTTGAGGAAAATAATAATAGCAATAATAAAAATGGACGAATTTAAACTCGCCGTTTTTATCAAAAAAAAAAACCTTTGACGATGCGAACAATTTCGAAAGGTACCTCCTGCACATTTTTAAGCTTTACTCCATTTTACGGGGTCAATGAAAATATTGAACAACAACACAAACCGGAATAATTAAGAAAAAAATTAATTTTACTCATGAAATGTGACTTTAACATTAACTGAAATAATATACCATATACCATAGTAGGTATATAAGGGATTTGCACGTATATAATATACAAGTTATTCGAAACACTATGTTGTACAAAGTGTGAGGGGGTCGGAAAAAATTTTAATATGTTGTGCCTGCTAATTTTACAACCCAAAATTCTGATGACCGTATATAAAATGGCGAGAAAAAAAAACCTTGACCCAATATTTATATTTATTTTCATCATCGACGATGATGAGTATGTTGTTTGTGTGTGAAAGATCACGTCGCATCCGCCAGTGAAACAATAATAATATTATAAATGCACTGCCTACATTAGTGGCGGTTGTGATAAGGGGCGTGTGAGAAAAAAATTATCCCTTTTATCTACTTTGGCATCGGCTGAGTGCAATTCCGTGTCGGGATCATTAACATTATAGTATTATTATATTATATCGGGTATTATTTTTATGTGTTAAATATATTGGGATAGAACGAGCTGCAGCCCGCCGGAAGTGAACGACGCAGTATAATAGTGTTAATCTGACATAGCGCAGATTCGACAAGTACGCTGCTATACTCACTATCGTTTCTATTAAAATGTGTGTATATTGTTTTCAGTCCATTATATACCTACGTCCTACATGATAATAAATAATATGTTTTATACTATCAGCTCCATGGCTGATTTTCATCGGCCTAAATTAAATAATAATAATAATAATAATCTATCATCATATCGTATTTTGTGTAACCACTCCAACCGTTTACAGGAAATTTTTTCATGAAGAACATTGCACGAAATCTGCAGAGTCCTATTTTCTAAAACTAATCCATATAGAAAATGGATTGAGGATTTGACTTGCATTTTCACGGGACGCATAGAGATTTCAGTGAAGCCAAAAACCATTAAATTAGAATTTCTATCTGCATTCGAGTTTTTAAGGGTGTCTATTTAAATACTCTATGTCGAGGAGATTTTAATTTATCACGAAACTGATTTCACATTCCCTCATTTTGATATGTCACCTGGATTTTGAAAAGATATGCTTGTAGCCTGACTCAAGTTGTTGGGTACAAAGAGTACAACCAGTTCAACGGCATTACGTAACCCCCTTCCCGTAAAACTGGTGATTGTGCGCTGTTCAACACCACGACACAAATAGTGTCTTATGGTACGTCTACGACGACGTCGTTACGTAGGTACCTACTCGTACAATATAACATTACATGAAACACCACAGTGATAGTCTATAGCCAACGGCTTGACAAATAGTGGTAATTCCCGTCGTACAACGTACAACCAAAACACACACCGGAGAACTCCCCAAATGCCAACAGTCGATGGACATTTTGGATTTACAATTCTACAACTAATCTAGGATCAACCGCACAATTCCTTGGGTCATGTGAGTAGGGAATATGTCAATTTGTTATTCATGTTAAATTGTTATCTATTATTTATTGTTTGCCATTGTGCATATTGTTATTAACTATTATGTATATTAAGTCACACTTTCAGTAGGCTATCATAGCGCCGAGCGTCGCTTATTACTTAAAAATTTATATGGATTACCTTGATTTATTTATTACTATTGTGTGTTACGTATTTTGCGTTGCAATCATTATACTTGTTTTACATTATTTCTTAGAGCTGTTCTTTATCATTCTTTTATTGAACCCTATATATTTATATTTAGTTAAAAAACATAACGAGGTCAACCTCCCTGCCTTTGCTTAGGGTTTGGTCCGTTACATTTGGTCCTTCGAATACGCATATAAAAAAAAAAAAGTTAGAGAATAGATCGTAACAAAAAAGAAGAAAAAAAAAAAGAAATAGAGTTATATTATTTCCTTTACCTATATTAGATTATAAGAACAATTACCATTAAACTTCAGGTACGATCCCGCGGACTATCGTAATTACCTGGTCGATAATTATTATTGTCAATTATAGCAACATTAATATTGGTGGTCTGACGTAATGCGTATCAAGTAAGATTCTGTTATTAATAATCAACCTTTTTTTCACGGTCAACGATCTGGGTGTTAATTGAGTGTCATAATATTATTACTATTACGGACGGGTACATCGACGTTATTATAATACAAGTCCGTGTTATTATAATAAACACTTAAGCCCGTAATTTTATACGATTATTATTTGCTTCGAATATTTAAAATAATATCAGTACACCACAATGCCGGGTGAATTGGACACCGAGCGTATAGAACGTTTTTTGAAGCGTTGTATATTAAAACGGGGTGATGTTATGACTCAAATGAAGACCTTGTATGAACTTGCGCTTACTGTGGAAGCAAATCCCGACGTAGCTCCTATATTTTGTGCGCGTAAACGACATATAGAAACACTCGTTACAGAATTCAATGTCGAGCACAACAGTGTATTGGACAATCTCCTTTTAATGTCACGCGAGGACGAATTTACTGATTCTCACTTATCGTTAAAAACAACGTTCATGGAACAGTACTATTATATTATAGCGTTAGATACGAGGTTAAAATTAGATCCGCACCCCCCAGCCATGGAAACACCGGCAAGCGACGTTAAGCATCTCACATTACCGAAAATTAAATTGCCCACTTTTGACGGTGACCTTTTAAAGTGGCGTACATATCGAGACACATTTGCATCGTTAGTTCATAACAATCAAGGTGTGTCAAAAATCGAAAAGTTCCATCATTTATTAGCGTCCACGACGGGCACTGCCGGTAGTGTGGTGCGTTCGTTGTCGTTAACAGAATACAATTATGACATTGTGTGGAACAATCTGCACACTATGTACGACAATAAGCGAGTATTGATGACAGCACACTTAGATGCAATTTTTCATTTTGCACCATTAGCCAAAGAGTCGTTATCAAATTTGAAGTCATTCTTGGCCACCTTTCAAGAAAACATCGCGGCGATAAAGGCACTTGAAGTCGAAGATCTGGAAGGTTTTTTACTATTTTACATCGCGTCTAGAGCATTAGATCCATGCACCCGACGGTTGTTTGAGTCCGAATGCCATCACGTCGAGACACCAACACTCAACATATTGTTAGAATTTATTCAAATCAGATGTCAGGTACTTCAGAATATTAGCGCTCATCCCACAAAACCGTCACCATTCAAAGGTGGGCACTCGAAGTCACTGCTATTCGCCTCTTCCACTCCGGGAACGAAATTGTGTAAACTCTGTCAAGACAATCACTTCCTACATCAATGTCCGAAGTTTTCTCAATACAGTGTTCAAAAACGGTTTGACTTCGCCAAAAGTAAGCGGCTATGTATGAACTGTCTCAGTCCCACGCATAAAACCTCTGAATGCTCGTCCATGCACACATGTCGTGAGTGCTCTGGAAAACACCATTCACTACTTCACCTCAGTCAACGTCCAAAAAAGACATCGGCACTAATGTCTACTCCTGAAGCTCTTGAACCATCGCTTGCAGCTAACACAGCCTCGGGAACGTCAACTCCAACAGGGCTGGAAAAACCATTTGTCGGAACATTCCAATCAAGTGGAAATGTTATTCTTGGAACAGCTATAATCCATGTCCGCAACAATATCGGTGATTGGACTCCAGTTCGTGCGCTGCTCGATACCGGGTCTCAAATTTCCGTCATCACCCATGCGTGCGCGTCTCGCCTGGGCCTAAGACGTCGATATTGTAACACTTCAGTCATGGGATTATC